TTCGTGTGGATGGGCACTTATAATGCCGTGTTGTAATGATGTCATAGAGAGTCATACTCTGGGGCTATGGTCGTTGTTGCTCCTGTGAAAAGTGTCTAAGAACTATGAGATAGTGTTTTGTTTTGTTTCGAATGTGTCTGTGTGTCTGAGTGTTTATACATGCAAGTGCCTAAGGAGGCAAGAAGGGGGCACTGGATCCCCTGGACATGGAGTTACAGGCAGTTGTGAACTGCCTGATATAGGTGCTGGAAACTGAACTCCAGGCCTTTGTAAGAGCCACAAGCACTCTTGATTGCTAAGTTCTGTCTCTAGCCCTACATGATTGGTTTTAATTTAACCACTAAAAAAAACCAGCCTTAAATGAACGTTTTGCCTAAAGTACAGCAACCAAAGGCAGCAGAGGCACCAAGCCACCAGGACTGAGGATAGCAAGAGCCATGCTGCCTTGGTTCACAACCCTGATCATCTCACATTTTGGCTTTGTAACCTCAAGAACATCATAGCTCTAGCTAGGCATAGTGGCTTGTAACCTCAAGAACATCATAGCTCTAGCTAGGCATAGTGGCGCACGCCCTTAATCCCAGTACTTGAGAGGCAGAGGCAGGTGGATCTCTGTGAGTTTGAAGCCAGCCTGGTCTACGTAGAGTTTCAGGACATGAAGAGAGACCCGTTCTCAAAATAGATAAATAGTAAATGAAGCCGTGCAGCTCTGTATGCCTCTTTTTTTTTTTAAAGTAAGGCTTAAATGTGGGTCCTTGGGAAATACCCCCACTGAGACTGGTACATGTTCAACACTCAGTAAGAATTGCTGCTGTTGTTAAAGGCACATTACACTGCTGTCTCTATCACTGAGGCACAGATTAGATTAAATAGAGGGAAAAATGGCAGACCAATTAAGTAGATCGGAAGATGCCAGTTTTGATACAAGGACAGGGAAATCCTGCTCCAGCTGCAAATGTATCTACCAAATATAACATTCACCAAGAGTTTGACTAAAACTAAATTCACACATTCTCTGCTCTCTGCAATGCTCTGTGTTCACAACATGGTATTGACTCACAACCAACAAATACTTACTGAGTACTATGCTTGGCACTTGAAAGACAATGATAAAAAATACCACACAAATTTCTTAACAGTATAGTAGTGGAAATAATCCAGAATTCACTATGATGTTTTCTTTACTTCCTTTTAAGGGATAGTAGGGGTGTTGGAAGGGTGTGAAACTTTGGAGATGTTAAAATTATCTCACAGGTCTTACCCTGGAAGTGTCAAAGTTCTACACAGACGCAGATAGATGCACTCAACTGAGGACAGGGCTTAGGGGCCTTACCTTATAGAAAGCTTCCCTGCTGGTTTCCATGCACAAGCCTGAAAGAGGGGGACGGGAGAAGTCAGCAACACCTATTTGGTGTTTGCTTGTGTGTTTGTTTCAGTCCATTGATGGGAATCAAACCCAGGGTTTATGCATCCTGGGTAAGCATTTCTTCCAGCTGAGCTGCTCTGATAGCCCTGTTTGAGTTTTTGTTTTGTTTTTATTTTTTGAGACAGGATTTTACTCTGTAGCTCAGGCTGGCTTTTAAACTTTAAGTTAATGGAATGCATGCTAGCCCCAAACTTGTAATCCTCCTGCCTCAACCTCCCTACTACTGGGGAGATAGGCATATGCCACCATATCCGACTTACACTTATCTTTTAAAACCCCAGCTATAGCTGGGCAAGGTAGTCATATTTGTAAGCTCAATGTATATGTGTGTGATATATGCATGGCTGTGCCAGTCAGATTCCCTACAACTGGAGTTGTGGATAATTGTGAGCTGTCATTCCAGTCCTCTGCAAGAACAAGTGCCTTACCCACTGAACCATCTCTCCATCCCCTGGATACTGTGAATTTGCAGCTAGCCTGAGCTACATGAGAGTCTATCTCAAAAAATAAAACCCAACATATTAAAGCAATAATAATAATAATAGTAATAATAATAATAATAATAATAATAAAAAATCACTTTTTGGCTTGGAAATACTTAATACAGGCTGGCCGTATGGTCCTACAAACCTGAAATCCAGTCTGTTGGTGGTGATCCCATTCTAATGACCTTCTTGAGACTTGCAAGTGCCAATTTCGTTGGTCAGTAAAACCACATTGTCTCTTCAGTACTTCCTAGAAAGTATGGATTTGGGGGCAGTGTATGAGAAGTTTCTAGAATATGGTATAATCATGAGTATCTGGCTTTTCACGTTAGAAGCTTCTCTATGTGTGAAAAAGTATTAAACAGTTGGTTGTGACATCTGCCAAGAGATATGAAGACTTTTCTGGCATTAGACCAAACAGAATGCTATAGATCATGACAGTTTTGTCACATGTGCCCATGTTCAAGAAATTAATTTTTTCTATTGTATTTATTTCCTCTGAGAGTATCAACAAGAAAATGGATGTAGTAGTTTCTTTAATATTGAAGTTAGACAGATAACTACATTAGTTCTGAAAGCAACATGAAATATCATTATTTCGGGAGTGAATCACTAGTGAATGCTCCACCAAGAAGCAAACTTGCTCTGTCCATGACCAGCACGAGTCTGGTGCCTTAGAGTGTGAACAGCCATTCCTCAGACGTGGTTCTGCCATAGGAATTATCTCCTTGTTCCAAGCAGGGCAATTGATTTAAAAGACCCAGGGGCAGAAGTATAAATTTAGGACTAAAAGTAAGTTAATCTATCCATTCTTTGCCATCGTTAGTCAACCTAAAGCAATTGATTAATTGATTATAACTTAGTGTAGCCATTAGCATTAACAGGCTTGAAGGTTTAGATGTTCACCTGGAGACAGGACGGCAGATGAATAGCTTAGAACTGAAGTCGAGCCTGGGCAGGTATGTTTCTGTTATCAAGCAGAGTCTGAGCCAAGCACTGTGACTCAGGCTTTTTATCACAGCCCTTGGATGGGTGAAGCAGAGGCTAACCTGGGCTATCCCTGGAGACCCTGCTTTAAAAAAATAAATAAAAATTCAGAGGCCTGACTGATCCAAATCTGTTTCTTGAATTCACTTTTCCATTTTGGATTTCCCTCATTAAATGGGAAATCATTTTTTAAAGGCTCCCTACTCTGAACTAGAATTAGTTTAAGGAAAATGTGGAGGTCCATGGGTAAGTGGAGAGATAAATCTCTTTTCCTCTGGGCCCTCTGGCTCTCCCTGAACTAACTCCCCAGAGCCTTTGCATGAATGTACTGTGCAACCTGCAAAACAGTGAAGTAGCAGTGCTGTCGCAGTCTCGGGGCAGTGCTGATATAGCTTCTTCAAACATTTAGTGCATGCTACTGTCTCAGAGGCAGGGAGAACTCAGCAGCTCTCAGATGAGCGTCTTTTACTGGAGCTTGGACAACTTTATCAGTGACTACACCACTGAAGACAATGACACCCCTCCCCCCAGTAGCCACTAACAGCCATGAGTACCTCAGAAGGGAGTGGAGTCTCATGAGCTTGAGCCCCTCTCCCATCCACAAGAAAATGCTGGCAGGCCCAATTCTGTGCTGGTCTTGTTCAGCTGGAGCCAACTCCAGCTGCAGTGTGTGAGCCGGCCGGCCACATCATGTCCAGAAGACTGTTTCACAGCCCCCTCCCCATCCACTGGTTCTCAGATTCATCTGCTCTCTCTCCTGTGATGCTCCTGGAGCCTGGAATGGGTGATACACAAGCTCATTCAGAGGCCAGCACCAGCAGCCACTCATTCTCAATGCTTTGAGCAAGGGGTTGTTCCATTAACTGCTGCCCATTGCCAAAAGAAGCTCCTCTAACCAAGGCTGACACTGGCTTTGAAGTGTAGACGTGTCTAGAAGGCAGTTGACAGTATGTCCACTTAGCAAAGCAACAGTAATAGGTTCTCCACATGACCTATGATCTCCCTCGCCATGAGCTCTGGACCAGGTTCATAATTCCAGGCATGAGCAGAGTCTTATTTTTTTTATTTAGTATTTAGGAATCAAATACTTTGAAGTCTGGCTTGGTGGTGTACATCTATCGTCCTAGCACTTAGGTGGTAGGGGCAGGAGATCAGGAGGAGTTCAAAGTCATCCTAAGCAGCCTAGCAAATTTAATGCCAGCCTGAGCTACATGACACCCTGTCTCAGAAAAAAAAAATTAAATGTTTTGATAAAACATTTACAAATTGAATATAACAGAACAATGAGCTGTAATTAACTGAATCTAGAGAAAGTAGCATGTGGGCATTGTGACCTGTCCTTAAAACAGACATGAAGTGGGTAAAAGACACTATGCCTACACCCATACTATATACATACATATATACATACACACACACACACACACAATTTTTAAAGGTGGAGAAAAAAGCAGATTAAGATTAATTAAAAGTAAATGGTGCAAGTTGGCATGGTGGCACATGCCGGCCACTCAGGCTGCCGAGGTAGAAGGATTTCCATTTTGAGGCTAGCCTGAGCTCTGTGATGCGACTCACATCTCATAAAAACAAATACACATCAGGATGGGATTAGAGCTCAGGGGTGAAGCACTTGCCTAGGATATTCAAGGCGCTGGATTCAATTCCCAGTACCACCACCAAAAGAATGGGTACAATAAGCAAGTGAGTGGATTTATATTCTTTTATACAAAAACTATATAGCAGGAGCGAACAGTTGTGTCCCCAAATAGATGTTTTTTTCCTTTTGTATGTGTTGGGAGGTGAGACAGTCCACTCCCTGTGGCCCATGCTGGCCTTAAAATCCAGGATATGCCAGTCAATACACCCTTCTCCAAAGCAATGTCTTTATAATCTATTGCCTCCTTGGTTTGCCACAGCTCTGGTGCTGTGGCTTTTGAGTGAGAACCTGTCTTGTTGAATTTATTTAGGCTGGAAGAATCTATTTCTAGACCAAGGCCATTAGGCCTTGCACGTATCAGGAGCCATAGCTGGTCCTTTGCCTGTACTCTTGTTCCCTTCAGTCCTGGTAATTACTAATGCAATGTAAATATCTTTTCTTTCAGTCCTCCTCGACCTCTGAATATGAATGACACCGTGGTTAGCCACATGTCGTCTGGAGTGCCCACTCCCACCAAGAGGTAGGTATGTCTTGTACCTCGAGGCTGGGGACAGACTTCTGTCCCTGATGCCATTGCCATGAGGCGTGGGCAGAGTGTCCCACTGGGCAGGAAGACTGGTGTTCTTCACCCCACTTACAGTCTCTTAGTACCATTTTCTGTTCTCCTCCTCCCCTTCCCTTCTGACTCATTGTGCAGCTATTGACAGTCAGCTCTGAGGTGTACATGGTGGAAATGCCACTGTGACTAGCAGCAAGCTGTGTCAGAGTGCACTGAGCATGTTTGAGATTTGCTAACATTAAGCATGAATTACTAGTCATAAGTTTCAACAATTTTGTATTTGATTTTTTTATATCAAAGATCACTTCTGCATCTGATTACAGTCTATAAGTTAAATTAATCTCTCATAAAATATTCTAAGTCATTCTGTGGATGGCTCATAAGCATTCAAGTTGAAAGGCCCAGGTCCTTCAGGCTTAGTTATGAAAGAATTTGCTTTAGGGTCCTTCAAGCGAAGAAAACTCTGTAAACTCCTTTCTCCTTTTTATTTAATTTTCTCTTGTTCAAAATCCTCATAGGCAGACTTAAAAGAACTATACTGAGTGACATACTTTCTATTTGATTTAAGCTGTTCCATGACCAGAGCAATAGAGAAACTCCCTCACGGGCACAGCCATTAAAGAATTCTTTCAATAGTCATCACTTGAAAAGGAGGCAAAAAAAAAAAAAAAAAAAAAGTCACAGACATCCCACTTCACCCAGCATGACATCCCATCCTCCCTGGAAAAAAACCAGAACCACTTTGTGCCATATGTCTCAAGCACTTTGGATTAATGCGGCTGTAGAAATGGGATCTTCCTGGTAATAATTTGACTCAGTGTATGATCCTGAAGGCAGCCATGGTTGTTCCCATTGGCTAAAATTCCCAGAGCAGCATTTCTGAAACCCGCAGAAGAGAAGAATCCCCTGGGGCACTTGTTAAAAATACACATTTCTGGGACCACGTCAGACTCAATGAATCAGAATCTCTGAGAATAGGATTGGGAGACACTGTGTGTTTAACAAGTTCTTCAGGTGTTTATTGTCATCAAACCAATTTGGCGAGTAACCTTAGCAGGAGGCAGAGGAGCTAGCAGCAGGGCTACCCTAGAGAGAGGACTTAAAGGCTGAGGAAATCAGTGACCTGGTAAGACAGCTCTGACTGTGTGGAGACCCAGGACCTGGACCAGGTAAGAGCACTTGTAGCAGGGAAACAGCTGTGTGGCTAAGCAGAGTCAAGTAAAACGCAGTGCGGGGCACTGGGGCAGAGTCTTTTGAGTCAATGTTGTCTGAGTTTGGTCCGGCTCTCGCCTGATTTTAGACACATTTCAGTTCTTTAACCTACGGTGTTGATGATGACATTTGCTTGGTGGGGTTTATTGCCTTTATTATTCTAGAAGTAATTGGAGTGAGAAACCTACTGAGAAAGAATAGGTTACAACATTTAAAGCCCGCACTCCCCATTGAGGATGATCTCTCTTCAAAATTAGAAGACAGGGCCGGTTGTAGGAAGAATCCAGCTTGAAATTTTATGTTAACTTTAGTAACATTACCTGTTGAGTAAGGGTTTGCTTCATCTGGGTTCTTCTCATAGTTGACTAGTTTTGCTCCCCTCCATCACCAGAGTACATTGAGGGCTCAAAGTGCTAGGGAGGAGAGTACCAGGATAAGATGCAAGGTGTGCAGTGACCCAGAGTGAGTGTAGCTGCAAAAGGCCGTCAAAAGAGAAAAAGTGACAGAAAGGACGCTGGACGATCATTAACCACAGCCACTTTTACAGACAAACCTTAGACTTGCTGTATTTATACCCGATTCCCAGCTACCAATGTCAGTCCTAAAATTATGTCTGCCATTTTTTAGAACTGGTTCAGACAGCAGAATATATTCCAGATTAAGACTTAGAAACCAGAATTTCAGCTGGCACCTTGGTCTGTGTGAAATTAGTCCTAGAGCGGGTATCACAGTGTATCCATGGCAACCAGTGGGGCTAGGCAGCATGGAGAAGCACAGCTCAAGAGAAACCACTTAGGCACGAGATGCCCTTCCCTAATATTGTACCGTTAGGATCATGGGGGATTTCATGTATGTCCAGTAGGACAGTGTGAGATGTCGAATGGATAGCAATAGTTCACAGGTGTTATGTTTTGTGGCTCCAGTAACCAAGGACTCTAAATTGCAGGTAGCATGTTTGCTTCCTCCAGGCTCAGCAATTTTTATTCCTGCTCTTGAGTGTAGTCAGACCTGTATTTCCCAGTATGAATCTGTGAAAGCCAAGTACCCAGTATGTCTTCCCAGAATGACATCTGGTGCTACTGAGGCAGGGATTCTCAAAGGATGGCACCACTCTCCAGAAATAAGCACCTTCTTGTAGAACTCAGCACAAAGATCAGAACAGATCAGACAAGAAATGTGTACTGTAGTTTAAAAAAGATTTAAATAGGAAGACTTTGGGGCTGGAGAGATGGCTCAGCAGTTAAGAGCACTGACTACTTTTACAGAGGTCCTGAGTTCAGTTCCCAGCAACCACCTGTAATGGGATCTGATGCCGTCTTCTGTAATGCAGCCATACATGCAGACAGAGCACTTGTATATAAAAATAAAGATTTTAAAGAATAGAACATTTAAAGCAGTTTGGATTCTTGTTTTTAATTAATTTACTTGAGATAAATTTCATATATCCCAGGCTGGCTGATCTACTTTTGAATGCCTGCACTACCACCTTCTTTGTGATCCTGGAGAGCAAAACCATGCCAGGCAGTGGCTCTTCCAGCTGAGCTGCAGCCTCATCTTCTGTCTGTTCTAGTGAGCATTGCATGTATGAATGCTTTTGGCCAGAGCTGCCAAAAATAATGTTATATTAGCCAAAAATAAAAGATGCAGATGACTTTCTAAATGGAAAAGATTGATACAAATTATATTCCTGGAAGCTTCTACTCAAGGGATTTGCTCTTTGTAATATCCCCAAATCAGGGAGCTAGAGAGATGACTTAGTGGTTAAACATGCTTACTATGAAGTCATGAGGACCAGAGCTTGGATCATTCACCCCTTACAAGACAGGAGCCCTGTACACACCTGTAATTTGAACACTGAGGGCTAGAGATAGAAGGCTCACTAGAGTTTGCTGTTCTAGGCTAGCTAGGAAACCCGGACTCCAGGTTCAGGGAAGAGAACATGCCTCAAAGGACCAGGAAGAGAGGGATAGAGGGGAACTCCTGGTGTGCTCTTCTGGCCTCTGCTCAAGAGAACACATGCACACATACTTGTTCTGTCTGTCTGTTTTGAGATAGGGTTCCTCTGTGTAGCCCTGGCTGTCCTGGAACTTGCTCTATAGACCAGGCTGACCTTGAGCTCACAGAGATCTACCTGCCTCTGCTTCCCGAGTGCTGGGATTAAAGGGGTGCGCCACCACCACCCAGTCACACTTGCTCTTATATATGCACAAGACACATGTACACTTACACACACACAGGCACACAGTGAATAAGCTTAAAACAAAAACAAAAACAAAAACAAAAAACCTCTATGGGTATTTCAATAGCTACAAAGAAATTTTGTCTTTTATCTTCAACTAGTTTCTTTCAGTTTATTTTCTTTGTATTCATTAGAATGACACTTTTTTTTTTTTTTTTTTTTTTTTTTTTTTTTTGGTTTTTCGAGACAGGGTTTCTCTGTGTAGCTTTGGAGCCTATCCTGGCACTCACTCTGGAGACCAGGCTGGTCTTGAGCTCACAGAGATCTGCCTGCCTCTGCCTCCCAAGTGCTGGGATTAAAGGCATGTGCCACCAACGCCTGGCTAGAATAACACATTTTAAAACCGTTTGAAAACTTAAAAAAAAAAACAAATGCAAGAAGTTTGACTCCCCTCTTCACTGTCTCCTCTCCTCTCCTCCCTTTGTGCCCCAGCCTTCCTTCTACTTAAGGTTCAGTGTGGGTTAAGCTGTGTACGGATGGCTCTTGCCCCACACCCGTGTAGATATGGAAAGCAAAGTTAGTATTTTATTTCAAATGTCTTTTAAAGTTTTAGCTTTATTATTTGAAGCTATTTCGGTGCTTACAGTTCTATGGAAATTTCATGTAACTGTAACAAAAACCGTCAATATGAAACCTTTTGTTTTGTACATTTGGTCAGTATATGAGTTACAACTTCTTATGTTTCCAGGATTTTATTGCTTTTCTTTTCTTTTTTTTCTTTTCTTTCCTTTCTTTCTTTCTTTCTTTCTTTCTTTCTTTCTTTTTTTTTTGAAACAGGTCTTACACTAGTTTTTGCTGACCTTGAACACACTGTAGCCTAGGTTAGTCTCACACCTGAACATCTGTCTCTGCCTCTCAAATGCTGGTAATTCAGGCATTACACCACAACACTCAGCAAATTTCAGGCACTCAAACCTACCTAACTGATACAGACCCACAAGGTCAGACAAAGGTAGAGGAGGAGGACTGGACTGTACATTGATCGCTGACAGAGGACACTACCTATTGCTTCCTTCTCTCATAGGCATCAACGCTTTTCCTGTTGTTGGCAGATAGACACACATACCCCATTGGAATGGATACTCCCAATATTACTGGGATTCCAGTGCATTCTGCAGCCAGGGCCCTCCAGAGACCATGCTTTTCTACCCTGTGAGAAAGGGTTACTGGGGCCTAGATTATATATTGTGTTACTACCTGTCCTGGGCATGTGTGATGGGCCGTGCCTTTGAGATTTGCATCATCAAAATAAGGGACAGGAAATGATGAAGGTTGCTACACAGCACATAGCTATGTTCATATTCACATCACACACACACGCACGCACGCACGCACGCACGCACGCACGCGCGCGCGCCTTCTCAGACATGCTTCTGCTCCCAGGATTTTCCTCCATAGGCGGTTCCTGTGCAAGTTTAGATACTATCACACCTTCCTTTCCTGGGCTCTTTCTGCCTCCTGTGGAAAGTGCCAAAGTTGAGGATATCCAGGTTGAAGCCATTAGTCCACA